AGACGACCGGTAACAGGCTCGTTCATCAATAAAAAAAATGTAAAAATTAATCAGTTTTACTTTTTTGTGAAAACCGAAAATTTAGAATTAATAAATTTTTCAAAAAATTTCCGTAATTTAGCAATAGCAAAAAGCTCCACCCACGTCCCCGGAAACCTCTCAAATCCTAACCTGAATATTTGAGAAACCTCCTCGCCGAGCTTCCCGTCGAACTTCTTCTCCCATTCAAACCCGATTTAACACTTTTTGGTAAAGTCCTCGAAACAATATCAATCCTACTACCGCCATTTTTCACACGTATTTTCGGCAACGTTGTCGTCATTTCACCAAAAAATATCTCACTTTCGTTATCAACAACTGATAACGACGTCGTCGTGGCGACGTTATCATCACACACACATTTACAGTACGACCGACAAATAACGAATGAAACGAAACAAAACTCTTACCTTGACTGCTCGTTGCGCTCCTTTCCGACTCTGGTGGTGTGGAAACGCTCATTCTGTCGCTGATGTTGTCATCTTCGTGACGTTTCAATGCCTAGAATCGTCGTCGAGCAAATTCAATTAGGCTTAAGCCGAAGGAAAAGTCTATTGACATTTTGCATGCACATATTTAATATACAAGGTGTTAAAAAAAGATTGTAAAATATTTCAGGAAGTAATAGTATGGACCAAAACAAACAAGAAAGTCCAAATAAACATTGTTCATTAAGACTTTTTTCTTGATTTTGGTCCATACTGTCACTTCCTTAATTTTATTACAATCTTTTTTTAACACCCTGTACATATGTGTGACCGGTTTTAAGTTACTACAAAAATCATTAATTAAATCGATGCACTCCGCATGCATTTATTTCCTGGAGAATGGTTTAAATCAATGATTTGTTTACGTTTTTTGACTGGAAGAAATTTTAGAATTGTGTTAATGGAAGCTATTTAAAAAAAAGGTCGACCGAGAGGTGAAAGAACTCTCATAGTTCTATAAATAAAGAAAATTTGACGGCTTTTGATACACAAAGTGTTAAAGTAGGAATTTTTCCAACACCCTGTATACCTTTTGCATTTTTAAATATACCGAGAGACATTAAAAAACACCAGTTAATTTTTGATTTGATTACTTTGACTGTTTTTAATAGAATTACAGAAATCTGTAAGAATCGTTGCGACACCTATTGACCAAAACACGAAATTGTGGTTTGCCGCCTCCTCGATATTAATTTTAACTTTTTCAGTTATTTTTTTATGATTATCATCTAGTCGTTCATGCAAAATAAAAAATGCTGTTTTAGAAAATAGAGATTATTTTGATTGATAACTGTCACTGTTGACAGAACTACTAAAAAAAACTAAACTAACAAAAAACGAAAAAAATCACGAGTCTGATGTAACACAAATGATATGTCATTTTTCCGCTCTTGAAAAATAAGAAATTGTTTTTAGTAAAATTACAGAAATCTGTAAAAACACTCAATTTGACATTTAGACTGTAAAGTATGTAAATTAAAAAACAAAAAGCGTTTGTCATTTGATTTTTTTTTAATATTGTAGCAACATCTGTCGACTACAAGCTAAAACCGGCTTTGCCGCCTCTCTGAAATTAATTTCAACTTTTTCGGTAATTTTAACCAATTTTAGCATTTTTTTTTTCAAAAATTCTTATATTAAAATGTCAAAGACATATTGTGAACGTTTCATTTTTTAAAAAGTTCAAGAATTTCAAAGAAAAATAATCAAATTTTGTGTAAT